GCAGAGATACTAGCAGACAGGTGGTGCCTTACTCAACAAGTAGAGTCATGAGAAGGAAGGGTTCGGTGGAGGGGAAAGTGTGGGAATGTTTCTGCTCAAACATTACACCAGCCCAATTAGGCTAACTGCCAGCTCAGTTCTGTACAACCTCCCTTGCAAGTCCCTTCCTGCAGTTCATACCAGTGTTTGCTCACTGCATGGTTCACAGCAGGGCTTTTCAAACACCTTTCAGCAGCTGCTCTATTCCTACCCCCAGTGTCTTGGTTTCCCTTGGAAGGGGTGGGGCTCAGCAAGGTGTGGGAAGAGTATTTGCCTTCCAAGCGCAGATGATTGATTGTCCTTGACCAGCTTGTTAGAATTGAAAAGGCTGCATTCTCCTGGCCAAAGACTCGTCAAGGGACTAAGCAGAGATAAAGTGGAGACAGGCCCAGCCACTATTTGGGGGGGGGGGGGGGGGGAAGGGGAGAAGCAGCAACTTGTATAACCTCTGCCTGTTGTAGGAACTGTGGGATTTATGGGCACTGATAGCCACCAGAACTTGGTGGAAAGTTATGAACACAGTATGCTTAGGAGCGGAAGTTCCCCATTGTTGGGGTAGGATAGACATGATACAGGATCTGCAAGCAAAGGGCCTAACTACAGTAAGGAAGTTTGCCCTCAGAGTGCCACAGGACTCTTTGCTGCCCTAAGAGTGAAACCCGTGTGAGTCTGCCTGAAGCAGGGCTGTAACCCATTAAATTGCAGTAGGAACGGCCTTGGAGTTTATATTTGGCGTGGAAATGGACACTCCTCAATAGGTGTTTTATTCTATCCGTCTTGCTGACCACATCTCAGAGGGACAAAGTCACCCCAGACACACTAGCTACTGCCAGGGAGCGGAGGGTTCCGTTTTCACTTCCAAAAGTCCCAGTGTCTATGTTGTGCCTAGGTTTAGGCTGCAAGCATGGCCAGTGCCCCACAGGAGGTGAGGGGAGACCACACACATGGGGAATGCTCAGATAGAAAGGGGCTGTGTACTAGGAGCAAGAACCACACCAGGGAGCGCCTACCCCAGGCCCAGATCAGGACAATCAACTCAGCCCCCACACTGCCCTGCTGGAGCGGTGATGGGCCCAGGGTAAGAACCAACTAGACTAGCGTAGCAAGCCAGAGGCACTAAATAAATTTCACCCCACAGGTTTGGGGGGCACCCTTGGGTTTGCTCCTTGGGGAGCATTTGGCTGGGGTTAGGCCAGCCAAGCTCACAACCAACAGTTGCTGCTGCAACCAATTCAAGTCCCACAGGGCAGCAAACAGTCCCTTATGGGCATGGCCCACAGCCCGAGGCAGTCAGGATTTCCCAGTAGGGCTCTGCCTGGGCCATGGAGCTCAGCCCTGTCCTCCCTAGGAATTCCTAACCCCCACTGCCCTAGCGCCCCGAGCCCCACAGCGTAGGCTGAGGCAGCCGTTACCTTGACTCAGGACCTGGCCTGAGCAACTTTGCATGGGGCACCATGAAAGCGAATCACTCCAAGGGAAAGTGATATAAGCATAGTCCCGCTGGCTTGCAGAGCTGCTGGCCCACCTGCAGCAGCAGCAGGCAGAGCCCACGGAGGCTGCCCCCCTGCGGTCCCATCTGGGCTGGCGGGCGGCCAGAAGCCAGCAAACAGGAAGTGGACGTATCTTATCATGGCGCCAAATCTTGTGCCAAGTTCCATGAGATCCTATGGCTCCAAGTTCTGTGAGATCTCAAGTCTACCCCAGAAGTCCTGTGGGGATTGGACATCTTGTTGGACCTGGCCTGTGCGGTCTTTTCTGCCTTCTCCCATAGCGAGCCACCAAATACCACCCCACCAGGCTCAGGGCCTCTTGGCAGGGCCCTTAACACAGCATTCCATGATGTAGAAAGTGCAATGGTCTTTATGTACCAAATGCATAGCATACGTCTGGCTTTATAGTCTGTCTCCACTCAGTGCCCAGAACTGCACCTGGGAAGTAGTGACTGACTGAGGAGCTGCAGTGGAGACTGAGCGGCATATGGCCCATTTTAAAAAAAATAAAAGGGTTTGGTAGCAAAAATCCTGGGAGCCCGGCCTTATCCCACCACATGGCACTCACTCCTCCAAGGTCAAGTCACTAAAACGTGGGGGAAGGAGACTGAAAATATTTGGGGAATTTTTTAAAGCACTTTCCTGTGACTATTAAAAAACCAAAACATTTCATTGGGATTAATCAGGCTGTGTGTTGAGGCATGTTTGGGTGCTAGCAAGAGGATAAATAAGCAGGTGCTAACATGAACTGCACAGTGATATTCATACAGGGCTTTGCGGATGGAGGAATCAATTGGCCGAGGCATGCCAGAAGATTATTATTATAGTACAAGCCATGTCATCGGTCGCTTAATAGCCTGACATTGATACGCTATCTCAGTGCCTCTTCCTGACAGCCTGGGCGTAGCTTTGATGACTTAGGGCCAGTCTATACTAGAAGCTGCAGCGCATCTATGCCAGTGGGTAGGGCCCTACCAAATTCACAGTTCACGTTGATCAATTTCATGGCCACAGGTCTTAAAATTGGTCAATTTCACAATGTTGTAACCATGCGGGTCCAAAAGGGGATTGGGGCGAGGTTCCAAAGCTGTTGTAGGGGGGTTGCAGGATTGCCATATGCACTTCTGTGCTGTCTTCAGAGCCCAGCAGCTGAAGTGTTTCCTGACTGAAGTGTTCCCAGAGTTTGCTGCAGCTGGGGGGGGGGGGGGGGGGGGGGGGGGGAGGGAGAACAGGATGACTCCCAGAGGTGGAGGTAGGTCTGATCTCCCCAGTGCTGCTGGGAGCACCCGAACCGGGGGCTCCTAGCTGCTAGTCAAGGCCAATGGTGGATTAACGCAATTTGAAAAATGGGTGACCTAGCCCTGGCAGGAGATACAGGGTGGAAGCTCTGAGCCCCAGCAGGCGCTGCGGGGGCTGAAGCCCTGAGCTTGGGTGCCCTGAGCCCCGGCAGGAGCCACGCAGGGGGGGGGGGGGGGGGCAGAAGCCCCGGAGCTCGAGCGCCCAGAGCCCAGGCAGGAGCCACGGGGGGCAGCCTCAAGCTGGGCAGGAACTGCTGGGGCTGGAAGCTCCGAGCCCTGGTGGCCCCCAGCCGGAGCCACTGTGTGTGTGGGGTGGGGGAAGGAGCAGCAGCCAAGAGCCGCAGCAGGGGCGGCAGCAGCTCCCAGCCCTGGCACCCTGAGCTCCGAGAAGAGCCGCGGGGGGCGGAAGCCCAGAGCCCAGGGCCGCTGCAGCACAGAAGCGCCGATGGTACACCCTCACTCCTGTGCTGTCTGTGGAGGTGGGTCTGATCTCCCTCCAACAACAGCCGCGTCGGGGAAGGACAAGTCCTGTCCCTCCCCAGCCCGGCTGATTTCGGGGAGATCTTATTTCGCGGTCTGTGAAATTGGTAGGGCCCTACCAATGGGAGAGAGATCTCCCGTCAGGATAACAAAACCACCTCCCTGAGAGGCTCTCCCACCAACATAGCACTGCCCACACCAGGTGCTTAGGTTGGTGTAACTTACATCATTCAAGGCGCTTATTCACCCCCTTGAGCGACATAAGTGGGAGTGTGTACAAGCCTTTGTTTGTTTGTGGAGTAACAAGTCGGACTAATTGGGTGGGTGGGTGGAGTATTGGTATCATGCTCATGAGGAGGGTATCCTCATCCCTTACTCATTATATAAATCCAGCATGGAGTTTAGTCTTAGTTTCTTCCTTGGCTCTCTTCCCCGCCCCAAAAGTTACGGGTCAAAGAGACTAAATGAGGTGGAGTGATGATAATTTTTTTTAGCAAGGCCTGTATAGTCACATTAGCAGCACAACTGTTACTTTTCCACATGGTAAGGAACACCTATTTCTGGGTGTTTGTCAAATCTCTCCTCCGTCAGGATATGCAACAGCGGGGGTGTGAAGTGATGATAAAACAGAGCTAGACTCCAGTCCTGCCTGATAGAGTTGCAAAGGTTGGTGTCCTTTATTTACACATGTATGTAAACAACAGAAAGTAAACAATACCACCCAATGTGGTGTAGCAAATAGGCTGCTGCAGTTTTACTTCAGGACTTGAAGTGTTTCATACATTTCACAGAAATTGCACTGACAGCAACATGGGAAGGCTACATAGTTACATTGGTTTTTCCGCACAGGAGAGACACACCAACACACACACTCCACAGTTTAGTTCAGCACCAGCAGAAGGTCATTGCACCACTACAGTCCACAGCACATGCACAGTGAAACAAGCACAGGAAAACTAGTAAGAGCTCGTTTTAGAACCAGGTACGGCATGTTCTTAAATAAAATAATAATAATAATACTTTGTACTTTTATAGCACCTTCCACCGGAGGATCTCAAAGCGCTTTGCAAACAATTAATTTAGCCTCACTACAGCCCTTTGAGGCTGGTCAATATCATTTCCATTTTATGGATGGGGAAACTAAAGATCCTGAGAAGCTAAGTGATTTGCTCAAGGCCACACATCTGTTAACAGAACTGCGATCTACTTGCTGGTTCTCAGCTCTGTGCCTTCAATACATGATTGTTCTTCCTCCCAACAAGAGTAGGACTTCTTGACATTTTACAATACGCTTTTGAGTACAAAACAAGGCCCCAGTGTTGCAGGGAGAACAGCAATGGAAAGCCCCTGCCTCCACCCGGAGCCCCGTTAATTTCAGGGAGGCTCCAGGTGGGTGAAGGGTCCCAGTGCACAATGCATTGCAAGTATAGTGCCCAAACAAGAATCCAGGATGACCTTCCCAGCAAAAAGAAACTATTTGAAAACAACTTTGCTGATGTTTTAAATGCCATAACAAACCACATACACATTGCACTGCCTGGTCTGCAAATACACCTTTACCCAGATATAACACTGTCCTTGGGAGCCAAAAAATCTTACCGCGTTATAGGTGAAACCGCGTTATATCGAACTTGCTTTGATCCGCCAGAGTGCACAGCCCCGCCCCCCCGGAGCACTGCTTTACCGCGTTATATCCGAATTCGTGTTATATCGGGTCGCGTTATATCGGGGTAGAGGTGTACTTCAGACAGAAGGGGCAAAACTCTGAACTTAAAAGAAAAATAACCCAAGAGTTCAATGAAACGTTTAAAACTTACGCTGCTTGTAAATTGTCCTAATTCACATTTTAGCTCTACAGACACTTCTTGAAAAGCCAGATTCACAGATGTAGATTTTGTATATTCCAAAAAAGATGATGTTCAGTGATCACCACAACGAAAAACACTCTGCTTGAACCAAGACTGGTTTCAATCTTTTCCACTTGTCTTTAACATAAACAATAACATGGACAGACTCATCTTGCATCCTAATATCAAATTAAATTCAAGCATGTAAAGACTGCTACTAAAAAAGTAGCTGCTAAGTTTGGTTTGAGTATCACATTGAATTGCTCATCCACCCTCTTGTGCACATTTATGCTTCAAGTAGTTTTATTTCTTCTGCTCTTCAAGAATAAAACTATTAAAATGCCTTATTTCCAGCTACCCTGGGAAAGGAAATGAACCACCACAGCCATAGGAGAATACAGTTTAAGACTGCTAACACAACAGAAGATAAAATAAAGTTCAGATGACCAAAAGATTTTTTGTACAAGAACTTCTGCAACAGCTGTTTTCCCTACTATTTAAATACATAGAACAAAACAGACGAAAGGAAACTCAGTTATTTTTCTTAAATAAAAACTATGTACAAATTGCACATATTACAAATCAGTTACAGAAAGCAGAGTCTTCACTGATAATTTTCTCTTGCTATAGTCAGTGATTATCAGTGTACTCTGGTCTTCAAGTGTCAGAACACAACAGAACTGCAATATTATGTACACAGGCTGAGTTTGTCTTCTAGCTGCTGGAGTGGGATCCTTTTAAACTATAATACATTCATTCCAGTAGCTATATAGGAACATTGTTCACTAGAGCAGCAAATCTCTCAACTCAGCAAGTCACAAGAGTGCTGTCATTGCTGTCTGGTTTATTGGTTTTAGGCAGTCTCTGGGCGTTGAATAACCCTCATTCACCAGTGAATTAGTTTGCGGTTTCTGATAGTCAGTACTGTAGCCCACTGAGGTCAAAACACAGTTAACTTTAGGTTTATCATAGTTGATTAGACTCTGCGGTGTTTGATAGTCCCCATTCCTGACATCGGTCCTACCCGAATTACTGAAACTGCCAGCAGAAAGGGAATGTTCATGAGCCGAAGAAATTACAGGTACATTGTAGTTAATTTCAGAGGGAAAAGTGTTCTCTCTTCCTAGATGCCTCTCTATAATAGGGGTGGCATATTCAGGCTCCTGGTTGGTCAAGGGCAACGCATATTCATGACGGCTAGCTCTGTGCGGGCAGTGATAGTGGTTCTCGATCACTGAACTATCTTTCTTCTCCTCATCCTCTGTGTCCATTGGTCTGAATGTGGATCCTTTTCTTGTTACCATCCCAGTTCCGATCATGAGAGGCTGCTGATAATCTAGAAAGAAGCATTAAAAGCTCAAAAATATATAGCCAGACTATTGGTTTCTTTGATTTCACCATATATAATGTAACAGGAGGCAGAATTTAAAGACGTTAAGAGACCCAGCTACTCTATCGATAGGAATTCTCATTCGGAATGTAAGAAAACTCAGTTTGTGCCAACCTCCTTCATTTAGTGAAGGAATCGTTATTTGTCAGAGGTAGTTATGGTTCTAGAGCGAGGATAAAAGTTCCGTGTCAGCAGGATATGGGCTTCTTGATAAGTCTGGCAAGGGATCTTGCATCAAGCTGATAGGAATTTTTTTCACACGTGAGAAGTTCTCTGCGATGCCTAAAGGATGGTTAACCTCCTCCCCCACCCCCAGTTCCTGCATTACTAACAAGGAATCTTAGGACAGTCAGATGGCAAGTGGAAGGAGAAAGCTGAATGGGACAACAACCAAGAAGGAAGGTGTTGGAGTCCAACGGGTTAAGGGAAGTGTGTAATGTGTGATATCGGCTTGGAGCTGGAGGTAAGGGAAGAATGGGAACAGCAAGGAAGGCGATTACTGGACAGGTCACCTAGATCTGGGAGGATAGCAGGAAGAGGATCAGAACCAGCAAATGACCATAGAGGAGCCAGAGGTAAGATCAGAGGACTGCAGTGTCAACAGGGGTGTTTGGAATTCCAATCCAAGAAAGCCCCAGCCAAAGGATTAGCTTGGTGAAAATTACTTTAAAAAAAAAAAAAAAAAGAAAGAGAAAATTGCAACATTTTCACTAGTCTGAAACTAAGAAACTAAAATCTGTCCCCTTCTCTTTGCAGATGAACTGACCTGCACAGCTCTGTTACACAGCACTGATCGAGACTGCCACGTTTTGGTGTAGTCCTTAAGAAGTTCAATTCAGTTTTTGTTTTGGCTTTGCACTTCATCTCCGACATGAGCTGAATTCAGCCCTACGTCCTCTGGGGAAATTCTCTGGCACTTCTTGTTTTGCATCTCAAACTACACTGTAAACTCTTTGGGACAGAGAAGGTCTTGTCTTTATGTGTACAGTGCTGAGACTACTGGTGTACTAAATAAATAACAAATCATTCTCTGACGCTACTCCCACCTTTAGTTCCATGGAACTCCTAATAGGATGTGATAAAGTATCCTGATCCATTCTGGGATTTCTTTAGGGACTAGTAAGTACTAGAGAATTTGACAGCGAAGAATTATATTAGGGATTTTAAAAAAACATTTCTAAGGCGAATGCCCTCCACGAGCTGGTTACTGAGGTGCCTTCAGCACACATTCCTGGGCTTAACTCACTTTTTTCAGCTTTACCGTTTGCTTTTAAGGCCAGTATTCATAAAATACCAAACCTCAAACATTGCCTGTATAAATCCCCAGAATTTAGAAATTTTCACCCCATGGCATAAGCGCTTGGAACCCTCTATAAAGTAGTGGCCATTAGGCAAAAAGTGTGGATCCATGCAGGGTATCATCTCACATAACCACAAGTAATATTTACTCACCCCTCCCATATAACTTTTTTTAATAGACCATCATAACATTATTTATTCAGAAGGATCCTGTTACAGCAAGCACCAATACATCCATGTTAGTGTCACACAGAATTCAAATTAAACCCTAGTCACAGTTTATTTTATTTGGTCTTCACTGCATTTCTCTGACAACTGATATCAAAGACAAGCTGGAATTTTTTGGGATGCTGGGGATAGCAAATTAGTCTTGCAGGGAAGGTCCATGCAGTGCTGACTGATCCCATAAAATGGCTGGGCTCACTAACCTTTCCAGACAGAGAAAACACAGGCAGGGACAAGAGGTGCTTAGAGAAGGAATGAAGTATCCCTGTGGGATGCAAACAGGGACTGATGGCTGGAATTTGCTCTGTCCAAACAATGAGCTGCAGCTAAGCTAACACAGCAGATTAATACATCATTGTTTTACTTAACTAGGTTGACTTCAGGGGACCTGGCTTCCACAGTGGTTCAGGCACTAAGTGACAGGAACAGAGATCTCAATATGATCTCTAGCTGGGCATTAGGCCACAGCTCAAACTGTTGGACAAACTGACTCTTTATTCGGGTCACTCAACTTTTGTGAAGAAATAAGACATTCAGTACAAACATGAGTAAAGAAACAGAAAATCCCAATCAGCAATGGCAATCTAGTCTATTTTAGTCAGGTTTGTATATCGTGTCTATCACTTAAACTATGACTGTTTCACAAGGAGAAAACAAATCTCTCTCCACATCGTGGAGGGAAGTTTTAATTTCAAAACTAAAAAGAGTTAAGAAATCTCCTGTATGTTTTTCCAATATATTCTCCCATTTCACTAGTTCAATGCCCAAGGGTAGGCACATTAATTCCTGGGTCCTGCCTCACATGTTTACTCTTGATGCACCCAGAGTTTTGCTCAGATAGTATTTGCCTGCCCCTCTCCCCATTATGTACTATACATCCAGAAGAAAGCGAATGCATCTCAAAAGATGTAACTGTTACCTGCCATGTCACTTGTGACTAGATCCAGCTTTTGCGGAGTCTCCTTTTCATTATTATAGCTGATGGTAAATTCCGTTGACTGATGTCTGACGAAGGGCTGCTTGATCTGTTTCCAACAACCTAGAAGAAATAAATGAACATAGAAAACATTAAGGGCTTGTCCACATGAACACTTAGTTCACGGCAAGCTGGGATGTAAATCTACCCGGCACTAGCCTGCTGTGCACTAAGTGTCCGTGTGGATCCTGCTACTGTGCACTAACTAGGACGCTTTGAATTATACTATTTTGAAACTGGAGTAAATTAAAGTGCACTAGGGAAATTTTAGTGCACAGCAGTGGGGTCCACCTGAACATTTAAGGTATGTCTATGCTGCAGTAAAACACCCGCAGCTGACCGAGGCCTGGGCATCGGGGTTATGAACTTGCAGTATAGATATTCAGGCTTAGGCTGGAGACTGGTCTCTCAGACCCTCCCCCCTCATGGGATAAGTATTATCCTTTGGCACCTATCGAGAGAGGAGTATTCTGTGTTGGTCTGTTTCAAGATTGCTTTAGAGACAAGTGGAGGGGAAGTGAATTTCTTTTCCTTTCTTCCGTTTCAGATGGATGTTTCACCATCTAATTGGCAGAGGAGGAGGGTGCTCCACTAGAGAGAAACTAAATAGCAGCTGAACTCAGATTTCCTACCCTAAATGAAACCCACCCTAGACAGGTAATCAACTGAGACACAAAAGATGTTACTTCAAAAGGGTTTTTGCAGACATCTTCCAAAAGCAAAATCCCCCAGCCAATGTTCTCTTCAGATATGATGAATGAAGCACAATTCAGTATTATTAGGCTTTTTTAGGAATTAGGGAGAGGGTCAGCAGAGGAAGCCACATTAAAACCATGTCTTGGCCTCCTTAGGGAGAGGCTAACCCCAGGTGCTGCAGAAGAGAGAAAGGAAAGGGGCAATTTGCTGGAGGGTGGGTGTTTTTTCCAGTAGGAACACTCTCAAAGTTTGTGACCCAAAGTCTCTCTTTCACTTGCTAATTGCATTTCTGTTGTGGAAGCCATGCGATGGCTGCTGTTTTCAGGTGGCACTAGTAGTGGTATCATTTTCCCTAACCCCTTTGTGATACTGTGAATTAAAATGAAAGGAAAATGATGCAATTGATGTTCAACTGTTTGATCCTTCCCACCAACCCATAGAAAGGAGAGAGCATGATTCTCCACTAACCTGGGTTTTGTGCATCAGATGAACCATAAGCACCTCCTTTTGTCTCTCTCCTGTAAGACAGGAATATGTTTGTAAGGTTTTATCCCTCACAGCACTTTACCTTCATGCCTTAGCTTCAGTGGAGAGAACCATCATGTTCACCAGGTGAGGAAAATCACCCCCCCTTAGTTTCTGGGTAACAGCACTTATTACAGTAGGGGACATGAATGCTGAATCTTGTTACATTTGTTTCCCCCCAGCTGTTTGAGCTGGCAAAAGACACTGGAAAACGGTGATCTCTTAGAAGTTCATGTCCCTGTATGCCAGCTCAGATGTTATCTTCCTGGTTGTGTTAGGATTACTATCCTGAATTCTTTGCACAGTTGTTAGAAACCCTAGTTTAGGTACTGGATTCTGAGGCGATGCAAGCCCTTTTCATAGGGAAGTGATGTCAAAGGGAGCTTTGTCCCCAGCCCCAAACTCCATCTACTGACAGGAACATTTGTATCCACTGGGCAGAGCTCAAATTAATGGAAGACTAGGGGGTGTCTAAGCGAGTGAATTTTACCTTTTTCCAGCCTTCTAAACGTGTGAGACAGCTGCCAAGCTTTACTTCCCAACATGTGTTTTATACACCCCCTTACATGGCAGCTCTGAATTTGGCCCACTGAGTTACATATCAAGGAACCAGCAGAGATGAATGTAGCAACACCGCCAATAAGAGGGGGGCAAGATAACAATTAAAATAGCTTCCACTCTACTTTCTTTTGGTTCTTAGGTGTGCAAGTTACACCAGCCTAGACTCAGTTATTAATCAGTAAATGGGGGTAGGTAGGTCTGAGGCAGATTAACCAATTATATAGGAATCTGAGCTAGCGTAAGGGGTGCTATTTTAATTACCTCTGTATTTGGCTAGTCTACACTGGCAACATTAAAGCGCTGCTGTGGCAGCGCTTTAACGTGGCTTGTGTAGTCACGGCAGAGAGCTCTCCCAACGCTCTAAAAAAACCCACCTCCACGAGGGGCGCGGCTCCCAATGCTGGTGCACTGTCTACACTGGCACTTTACAGAGCTGAAACTTGCTGCGCTCAGAGGGGTGTTTTTTCACATCCCTGAGCGAGAAAGTTGCAGCGCTGTGAAGTGCCAGTGTAGACAAACCCTTAGCTTCACAGGGCCACCTATGGCATGGAGCCCCGGGCAACTGCCCTGCTTGCTACCCATTAACGCTGGCCCTGGCTTTTATATGCAGAAAAACAGTTGTTGTGGCACAGCTGAGCTGTGGAATTTTTATAGCATATTGGGGGGGGGGGGGGGGGAGCTCAGAAAGAAAAAGGTTGAAAACCCCTGATCTATGCCACTACAGCTGTTTTAATTTAGATGATGAAAAATAAAATCTCTTACTTTCGTATGGCTGCACAGATACAAATCCCAGAGAGCAGGAACAGACACAGCCCTACTAAGACCGGGACAACTATAGCTGTAAGTTTTAACCCTGCAGGAAAAAAAAAAATTAAAGGTAACAAGGGCACAGTTTTCCAGAGCTAGATACATTTTGTTTTAGGAAAATACCCTGAAAATGAATATATGATAAAAATCTTGATTCAAGAGTGCGTGAGAAAGTGAAGGCACAATACTGCAGGAGGCTGTGGGCCAAATTTAGATTTGATGTAAATAGGTGCAGCTGTATGGATTCCAAAAGAGCTCAGCCCATTTTCTCTAGGTCTCTGTGTTGCTCAATACCTGTATACATCCTTCCAAAGGTAAATTCTTTCCTATTATAGTCTGGGTTGGTAAAACCACCTATTAAGGTTGCCTGACACTTCCCATTATGAAGACCCTATTTTTAATTGCTTGTAACTTTGTGGGGAGAGGGGACTGATATAGGATGAACTCAGGGAGGGGAGGGAGAGAAACAGACTAGAGGAGGAGCCTGGAGGGGGGGACTAGAGCTGACTGGGCACGGAGACAGGGATGAGAAACCTGTAAAGCAGAGACTGTGGCTGGGTAGGCAAAAAGAATAGGACCATGACAAGGAGCCAGGGGTGGGGAAAAGACAGGACAGGGAAAGATTGAAGAAGAGTCCCGAGTCTCTCCATCCTCTGTTGTCATTAAATATCTTTGAAATCCACTGGCAAAGTGCTTGTCTGAGCCCACTGGTATCAGTTACTTCATTAGAGTCAGTGGCAGAAGCCTGTGCAGTGGAACTAAAGGTTCCATCCCTGCTGATAAACCACGTGGTATCAACAAGACAGCACATGAGAGAATTTGTTTTTTCAGTTTGCTTTTTGAAAAAACTTTGAAATTACACACACAAATCTAATAAGAATATTAAGGTTGCAAAATTAAGCACTCAAATGTTAGGAAATGCCAAAATTAAGGTTTCCTGTGCAATTTTAATTTGTCCCCCTTATGTGTATGCATTAAGGTATAGCCTTTAATTACATGATCACATACTATTTTTTCCCACAGTGCCTCTATCTCAGTCAACCTTTGGGTTTATTGGAATAGCATCAAAAGTGCTTTTCAGTTAGAATGTATTCATATTAATCTTACTCAATTCCAAGCACCCACTTAGACTTCTATTCATAGTTAGTGAAATGTAAGGTGTATTGCTCTGGTTGGTCTTTTGAGTCAGTGACTTAATTTATGATTATTTAGTTTGGATATTTATATCTTTTTGTACAGCACTAACCCGACTTTTCAGCAATGGGTGCTTTATTTTGTGTGCGCGTGCGTGTGCGTGTCATTAATATATATATTAGAAAAAGAGAACCTCTGGAAATCCAAGGATCCTAAGGTCTCTAGCAGGTTATCCTCTGCAAAACCACTATTGTAAGAACAAGTGGGTTTTATTTTATTCCAAAAAACAGAGTCAGTCCCATGTTTCAAGACAGTGCAGGTCAAAATTAAGAGTGACCTGCAAACTAAAAAGAATATATGCCCATGTCACTTCTCTCGGATGCACAAAGATAAAGACAACCTGAAAACTGTTTCTAAGTGTTTTTTGCACTTTTTAAATTTTTCCTTTAAATTAGAAATTCAGGTCTTGTCTACTCAACTTTTCCTCAAAGACTCTAGGGACAAGTAGAAAACTGGTAGATTTAGGACATCACACAAACCAAGGAAGTGAAACCTGATTGAAAGAGGAAATGATTTTTATTCAGACTATTTAAGAGTTTAGGGTTTGTTTTTGTTAACATCTATTAAATTCAAATACTTGAAAAACATTTGGAAGAAAAGTTCTTTGTTAAAAAAAATAAAATCAACATCAGTAATACCTGATATATATATATGGTTTTAAAAAAAATTAAGGATTTCAAGTTCTCTTTATCCTTCAAAGAGGACTCCCCTCACCCTCACATTTGCAGATAACCATTAAAGAACATTGATGAGATGAGAACATTTGATCTGGCAAAGTGTAGATGCCTGTTAGAACAGGAAGTATACATCTCAAAAAGATGGCACATTTTAGAGAGACCGTACTGTTCTAGTATTACCTAAGCTGGTTTCTTCTGATGGGATGGGTTCTGTGATGGTTCTGTCTTCTTTTCCAACCGCTACACCTGTGCTTTGACTTGGTCTTTGCCACATTGGGTGAGTAAATGAGTTGTTAGCTGCAAAAAGAAAAGGAAAAACAACGGAGCTGTAGTGGGTTTTGGGATTCCATTGCTTCACTGGGCTCCTGGAAGTATTGCTTGCCACTTACCTTGCATTATTCGACAACCAATCAGCTCCACCTTAAATGCTATTCTTTGATGCCAGGTCTGTGGAATGATCCGCACGTATCGGGCCACCATAGGAGGTATAAAATTATTACGTACTACGTCCCCATAATTAGAGTTGCCTTGGAATACCTGCAATTTAAAGCACATAAACTCTTTAATTGCTGTGTTTTCAGAGTGAGTTGTTAAAAATACAGAACATCTTAAATGTAAAGAGGGACACTTGTCAACCTAAAACTCATTCAAAAATATCTTCAACTGTGTTGTAACTTTAGGATTATTAGAAGTAAATTTTAAAAGAAATTTACTTTACAGTTTTTGCTAAAGTTCACATTTTGTGCTTAATTCAGCGTGGACAAAGAAATAAAACTAGCTATTTTCATCTTCTGATCAGCACTGTGCTAATGCACGCTACTGTGTTTGAATTAACAATACCTCCTGCATCAAAAGCAAAACAAAACTTTTTATTGAAATCAAATCATGAAAAATGTTTTGTAAACTACAGTACTTCTTTTCTTCAGCAAAATCTAAATGAGTGACCAAAAAGAAGTTACTCACCTTGTGCAGTAATGATGATTCTTCGAGATGTGTGTCCCCTTATGGGTGCTCTACCGTAGGTGAGTCTGCATCCCTGTGATGCTCATCGGAGAACTTTGGTAGCAGTGTCCGTTTGGCCTGATCATGTGCTGTCTCTCCTCATGCTGCGCCATGAGGCTAGCCAGCACATGTTGGCTAACCATTCTCAGTTCCTTCGCTGCCGCAGAATCAGTGAGAACTCAGAAGTAGAGGGGAGAAGGGCGGGTAGTGGAACACCTATAAGGGGACACATCTCGACGAACCATTGTTACTGCACAGGGTGAGTAACTTCTTCTTCTTCAAGTAGTGTCCCTATGGGTGCTCCACTCTAGGTGACTCCTGAGCAGTGCCCCCCTGGGAGGGCTGGGACTTCGGCGTCAGGTTAGTTACAGATGACAGTACTGTGGAGCCAAAGATGGCATCAGAGGCAGAATCCCTGGTGATCGCGTAATGTTCTGCAAAGGTATGGACTGAGGCCCATGTCACTGCTCTGCAGATCTCTGAGATGGGGACATTCCTGAGGAAGGTGACAGATGAGGAGATTGATCTCGTGGAACATGTACGGATCGAGTCCGGAGGGGTCATGTTACGAATTTGATAGCACTGTCTGATGCAATTCGAGACCCACTTGGAGAGTCTTTGGGCTGATATCGCTGAGCCTTTACACCTTTCCGCCATAGAGAGGAACAGTCTAGGGGATTTCCTGAAGGCCTTTGTTGTATTGAGGTAGAATGCAAGGGCTCTCCTAACGTCTAAGGTATGGAGTATGGCCTCCCTATTGTCTCGGTGAAGCTTGGGGTAGAAGGTTAGACTGATCCATGTGAAACGAAGAGGTCACTTTAGGGATGAACCTTGGATGCTGCCTAATTGTAACCTTTGTCAGGGAAAAGGACTGTGTACGGGGGATACGCCATCAGAGCTGCTATTTCCCCTATTCTTCTAGCCGAGGTAACTGCAATCAGAAAAGACGTTTTCATCAATTGGTATGGTAGTGAAGAAAGTGGCCATAGGTTCCAAGGGGGGGCCTAGTCAGTCCTTTCAGCACTAGGTTTAGGTCCTATGAGGGGATAGGAAGTCGAGGTTGAGGGAAGAGGTATGTTATTCCCTTAAGGAACCTTTTAGTGGTCAGGTGCAATAGTACTGAGCACCTCTCTACAGGCTGGTGAAATACTGTAATAACTGCCAGGTGGACCCTGAGAGAGCTCAGGGATAACCCTGATTGTTTAAGGGTCAAGGAATATTCCAGAATATGTGGAAGAGTTTCTGACACCGGGGAGATTTGTTGGCACCAAATCTGGAACCTGGACCATTTCTGCAGGTTGGTGCATTGTATGGAGGACTTTCTGCTGTGCAGTAGAACCTCCTGTGCTTCCTTTGAGCAGGAGCGCTCTAGGTGCTGGAACCACGTAGGAGCCATGCTTTGAGGCAGAGGATTCCCCAGGTTGGGATGTGTGGTATACCCTTTGTCCTGAGAGAGAGGGTGTGAAGTGGCCGGAATGGAGATCAGTGGACACATCACGAGCTGCATCAGGTACGGGTACCAGGTCTGTCGCGGCCACGTGGGAGCAATCAAAATTATGTAAGCTCTGTCCCCTCTTTATCTTAGCAGACCCTTCAGCAGAAGAGGGAAGGGGTAAAGAAGGCCCTTGTCCCATGGGGGGAGGACAGCATTGCCCAGCGAGTGCTGTCCAATCCCCACCCTGGGACAGTATTGCAGACACTTCTTGTTCTGGTAAATGGCAAACAGATCTGCGGACGGTGTTCCACACTGTGTGAACAAGTTGTGAAGTACCGATAGGTGCATCTCCCACTCGTGGTCATATGGAAATTTGTGACTGGGCTTGTCCACTATCGAGTTTTGCGTGCCTGGGAGGTAAGCCGCAGACAAGGTGATGTTGTGAGAGATGCACCAGTTCCATAGTTTCATGGCCTCTATACATAAGGAGGGTGATCTGGCTCCTCCCTGAAGGTTGATATAAAACATGCAGGCTACTTCTGTATGTGATCCGGTTATCAGTGGGAGGAAATGGGTTCAGGTGTTCCTGACCGCTCTTAACTCAAGGAGATTGATGTGCAGGGATATCTCCACAGGCATACACGACTTGTGCCTCCCAATACTGGGGGGCACAATTTAAAGGGGAAGACATGTGATGGGGACCTCACTCATACTGATCTCTCCAGTGCCAGATGGGCCAATGCCACTGGTGGTACCGTCAGCTCACGTACCGGGATGTTTGCCATTCTCTCTCTGTGCCAAAGAGTCCGTGGGCCTATCAACGGTACCAGACAACGATGGTTGCCGTGAGGCATGGGTGTCAGATGATCTCGGTGCTGGCAGCGCAGAGGATACCAAGCGAGATGGTGATCACTTTCGGCTATTCCTGGGCTCGCTGAGGGGACTTCCTGCTCTCTTTTTGACTTGTGAGAGGGGTCCCTGGACTGTTTCTTCGACCCACTATCCTTCGAAGTCAAAGGTTAATGGGAAGGCTCACGCCCGCCATAGGGCTGGGGTCGGAGAGCTGCCTCCATAGAGATGATTTTCTGGTGGCACTCTGTCCTTGTGGGATCTCAGTCGGCCCTCACAAAGGCAGCGAATGCACTGGGAGTACTTGTCCATGACTGGGATCGCCTCACTGCAAGTGCGACACTTGAAGCCAGGAGAGCTGGGGATACCCTTCACCATTGCTGGGGGTCAACACAAGAACAAAGTCTTTTCTTCTTTTAGGCACAGCCAAATAAAGAGTCAGAAGAAAGCTAAAAGGTTTTTAAAAGCTAAAGATTTTCAAATGAAAAGCAAGTTAACGATCTGCTAACCAGCTAACGGACAGCTAAAGGTTCCGTCCCTAGCCAGGGGCAGTTGAGAAGGAACTGAGGATGGTTAGCCCGCACTCGCTGGCTAGCCTCATGGCGCAGCACGAGGAGAGAGCGCGCAGGTGTGGGCCCAACGGACACTGCTAAGTTCTCCGATCAACTGCACAGGGATGAGCACACCTAGAGTGGAGCACCCATAGGGACACTACTCGAGGAAGAACTGTTTGACTATGTTCTCTTCATTGTATTTACAAAATCTGTCTGATCAGTCAGCCCATTCTACAAGTGGACCTTTTTATTAGTTTGTTTAAATGAAAAGTGTATAAACCTGAAGCCCTGGCTCAATTAATTCTGTTTAAGATCATATATAACAGTTTCTTATGAGATTTTTAAAATGATGGCGTAATGTAGAACCAGTTAGAAGTTTACCCTAATGGAACTTTGATTCACAAGGAATTTAAAAACAATCAAGTCAATTTTTTTAAACTTTTAAGAATTATCATTGTGGAATAGTGCAAACCTGCAAACTTTAAATATCTAGTTTGCATAGTTCAGAGCCGTTACTGTACCAATTTTTCACTGCAGGCAAAAAACTGAGGCTGTAGAATATTAAGGGCATGGCTACACTTGCAGATGTAGAGTGCCGGGAGTTAAACCAGCCCTTGGAGACAGCAGCAGGGAAAGTGCTACTGTGCGTTCACACCGTGCTCCTTGTGACCATGGAGCATGTCCACATTAGCAGCTCTTGCAACACCACAGAGAGCAGTGCATTGTGGTAGCTACTCCAGTGTGCAAGTGGCTGCAGCGTGCTTCGGAATGGGTTTGCAAAGCATGGGGGGCTGTGTGTGTCAGCATGCTATCTTGTAAGTTCAAACAACGGCAGGGGAAAGGGGGAAACCTGACATCAGCTCCCACCCCCCACCTCTCTCTCTCTCTCACTCACACACACACACACACACACACACACACACACACACACACACACACACACACACACACACACACACACACACACACGCTTGCCTTTGCAGCAGGAGCATTCCACAGTAATGGTTTGCTTTGTGTCCTGGAGCAGATAAGCATGAGGGCTGTCAGAAACGGAGCTTTGAAAGGGGATATCCGCATGCCTGCGGCCTAGTTCAAAACAATGACGAGAGTGGTCACTTGACTTCAGGGTATTATGGAACGTTTCCGGAGGCCAATCACAGCTCAGTAATGCAACATGTCCTCCACGCTGACACCCCAGGGCGCAGCAAGCTCTATGCTTCTCGTGGAGGTGGATTACCAGGAGTGCTCCAGCTGCAGAGTCCAGGCACTCTAAGTGCCTTGCCAGTGTGGATACCTCAGGAGTTATGGCACCCGGGGCTGATTTAATGCACTGTAACTTGCAAGTGTAGCCAAGGCCTAAAAATCCTGAGGAAGTCCACATTGTGCAAACGAAATTTCTCTCCAAATGATTTAAACTACAGGATACATGGAGATAATAAGAACCCACTTTCTCGATTCAGAATTTTAGGGTCTGTAAAGATCCCTCTAAGCAAGATTTTGGGTATAATGAGAACTGATGATCAGTTAGGCTCTGGTGCTGCAACATGCTGAGCTCCCACATGTTCCTTTGAAAATAATGAGAGTACACTCAGGATCAGGCTCTTGGGATTTGTTCAGAGTAGACCAACATGGAAATTCAATGTAATTACACCAGTGCAACCCTCTAATGTAGGCCTTGTTTACATGAGATATCTGCACTGCTTTCATTTTAGTTTTTAAATCAATTTAAGTTAAACTTGTGTATACTCTTGCATGGACATTTTGGCTTAAGAGCAAGTATTTTGGTTTAGTTTACATCGATTCCTTGAGCTAATGCAAAAAGTGGCCAAACAGCCTTTTTGCACCAGTTTAACGATATTGGTTTGAAATAGCACCTTTGCTTAACCTGGGGTAACTTTTGTGTGTAGCTAAGCCCACAGACGTACTGCACCAGTAAATTACATTGATCCAGTTACACTGATGAAGACTGCCTAATCTTTCATGACAGTGAAAATCTTTCCTTCAATATCAAAGCATCTTAGAGAATTTTTTCTTTCGTGTTCCCATCCCCCCCTTTACCTTTTCTTCATTGCTTAGGATTCCTTTGTAAGTTCTCCATTTTGAGTTGTTATTTTTATAGTTCATAATAAAGGTCTTTACATAAAAGTTAAACTTCAGCATAGTAGATCCTGTAGTCCTAATCCCTTGTAACAAAAGAAAAAACATATTTTGTTAGCTTTTTTTAAAAGGAACATTTTCATACACAACTCAAAAAGGAAGTGTGTTAAAAATATAGGTACAGTTCTGTCTAAAAACTATTCATTCACCTCTCAAACTAAGTTTGGAGATCAAAAAAATCCAACAGGTTTGGGGAAGAAAATCAGTTTTATACTATGAATTTCATGGCTTCTGTTGTGGACCCCTGACCTGATCTTGGAAAGTCTATAGTTTTGGGTAAAATATAATCCATTTGCTAAGCATGTTTATAGAAGTAATAATGGAAGTTATTGAAGCTGTACCAGTAAGGAGGAGGAGAACCAAAACATATGTAGTAAAAATAGGCTTGGCAATAGTTTTAAGCATTAAGGACTTAGAATGACACCTAATAGAAGTTGGCAGTTGGCATAAGTTAGCATGAGTATTATGTGCTTGACCAAGGCTATGAAATAATACATGCTTGACCTAAGGTTATAAAATCTAGCAATACGTATCCTTTAATAGTTTAGCAGTGCATCATGTAATAAACAGATAAACCCAACTGAACATATGCTAAAATCTTAGGGGCTTTTTGCAATAAAAGCTAACCACATTAACATATCAAAACTACTAGGAAAGGGACTGACATGAATTATTGGGTTAACTGTCGGAAATGTAATTATGGTCAACCAGAATACCACATATGAACAAACAGAACCCTAAAATTGGTCTCCTGGAATACCAAATATAAATAGGGGTCTGAGACTTGATCAGATATGCTCCCAGATGTATGTGGATGGAATGAAAAAAGGCGCAGAAAGGGTTGTCAAACCCATCTCTAGTTGGGACACCGGGATAATGGCATGGGCTGCCAGGCAGGAAGCCTGGCCCAGCAATTTCCTCTTGTAGTGGGCTCCACTGTTTCCTCTATCTTTGGTTCTAATGGTCTCCATAAGATTACAAGTATGCACAATGTAAAATTGTAAGTAATGTGGGAAACCACGTTACTGTACTTAATCTTATTTTATTTACGTGTATTGATTTTTCTACGGTTTCAATTATATTTGTATTAACTAAAACGTAACGTTTCCGTGTGTGCTTCACCTTCTTAATTAACTCTAAGTAATCACCTAAATAAAGAACTTGTTTTTTGTGAAAGGTGTACTTTAAACCTTAGATTAATCCCAGGCTACACTGTCAAACCAATCACTGTTGCTACATGCAAGACGTATTTAAAAAGAACTCCATCACCAATGCAGGAAGAGATTTCACATGACAGATTTAAATTATATGGTTAGGAAACTTTCAAGATGCTCTTTATGTAAATACATGCCATGGAATTTTAAAAGATTACTGACCCAAAAATGGCAATGGATCTCTCAGATTATGGTCCATTACGAGGGTCTTTATCCATATACAAGTGACTAATTTATATATTTTAGACAATGCAAGGAGCTCGCAACAGGAGCGCCTTTCATGTGAACATACCATTGTTTCAGTGACCAGGCTTAGACAGTCATTTATTGATACAGGGAGTTCATCATAAATAGACCCTAAAGAGCCATTTACAGGTTGATCAGGACACAACAGCCAAGCTCTATTGCTGACTGTGTGAATACATTGTAGAATGTCTACAAAGTAATGTTTACAGATAATTGATATGTCAGAAGGCATAAAAGATAGCTCAGCCCAAACCTGTGTTCCTGTATTCCCTACTCAGGAATTGCTGTCTACCCTGTTTGTTAACTGCATCCACAACCAAGGAATTTGGTGTGAGATAGGAAAAGAGGAACTCTGTGCCCTTTGATAGCACATAATATTTTTTGTCAGATGTCTTATAAGTTGGTGGAATTGTTGCTGGGGTCTGCCAAATTTGCCTAACCAGTTCCATGATGGCATCATTCATGGGTAGGGCAACTTTAGAGGAGGTAGATGTGTGTCAAATGTCAAAAAGCTTGTGTTGCGTTTCCTGAACTTCTTCTAGAGAGATGTCCAAGGAGCTGGCAACCCTCCTATTGAGGTCTTGAAACTGTTAAAGTCATCCCTAGCGTTTGGGGGGGGGGAGGGGGGCACACGATGCTGTCATCAGGAGAAGAAGAAAAGTGAAGGGTGGGTTCAATGTCCAGGTCAGAGGGTTCATCCTGTTCTGCTAGAATGTCCTCAGGGGGCTGAGACGGTCCTGTTACCGACAGTGCAGGTGATGGATGTGTGCTCTCCCTGGGAGGTTTGTGGTGGTAAGTGGGATGCGCCATCCCTTGTGTCCAACACAGCCACTGTGGTGGAGGTGGCATGGGTGCCATCCATGGGTACCCGTACCATTGGGATTCTTTGTGTGCAGTGTGGAGGCATGTCCTGCCGTACTGCGGATGGGAGAAGAGTGGTGGGAATAAATCTCTCCACCATCGACATTATCCTTGTCGCTCGAAAGAGCGGGAGCTGGGTGAGATGGAGTAGAAGGGTGATTTGGTACTGAGCGAGTCAGAGTAATGTCAGTGCTGAGGATAGGTGACTCAGGCATTGAGGAGACTGCCAAATCCTTTTGTATAAGAATTGACTCTTGGTACTGATGGTGGCATCTACTACTTAGAAGTAGTGCCTCTGTCAGAGGCTGCAGTAGGGGACTTCTGTCCTGGGGGAGTCCTGGCTTCTGGCTCAGATGCTGGCCTGCGGGACTTCTCCTTTAGGAGCAGCTTTAGCTGCAAGTCCCTGGCTTTCCTGATCCTGGCTGTTCGCTTAAGGCAGTGCGGACACTTTTGAAGAACACGTGTCTCGCCAAGGCAGCGGACACACTGAGCGTGCCTGTCTGACACTGGAATCGATAGCCTATAGGTGAGGCAGCATTTAAAGCCCAGAGAACCGGGCATGCCCCTGAAGGGAGAGTTTCACCCTCCCCTGAGGGGAGAACTGGCAATAATGGTTCAACAAAAACCTACTTCTAATCAGGAAAACAAATTAGGATTTTGGGGGGGGGGGGGAATTAATGGGGACAAAAACGAAAAAGGGCTGACAATATATAATAAAACTAGAACTAACTTGGGTATATTATTTTAGCTGAGCTCTGAGGTGCTGCTGAATGCTCTGACTCGTAGCCAAAGGCGGTAGAGAAGGAACTGAGGGAGGGTTGGTTACACAGCGCTAGTGAACCGCCTGAAGCAGTGCGAGACGGGGACCATGCATGTGACCCAACCGGGCACTGCTACCATAAATCTCTGATTAAGAGCACAGGGATGCAAAAACACCTAAAATGGAGCATCCACAGGAACATCACTTGAAGAAGAACTTAAGCCTCAGGCTTGGGAACCAGCCATGTTATTCAGTAGGTAACTTACCCGTTATTCTCTTTTTCTCTCCCAAGTCTATTTCCAACCACTCCCGGTGGCTGCTATGGTTGGAAGCCCATGAAATCCCTTGGACTTGAAGCCAGGCCTTGTCAGGAGACCACTGAACACTTTCCCCAATTTCACTGGTCTCTTCCCAAGAGGACGATGCTGTAATATGGCTGTTGGGGATGAATCCATCTCCCAAACTCAAGGATTTATTGCAGCCTAGAAGGAATTCCAATACAGAGAGAGATGGAAGAGAGAATTTGCATTTTCCCAGCATATCCCAGCAAGGTCACCCACAACAACCAGCTCATATAATTCTTCACCCTGCTGTTTCTCCCTATATCCATTAGGCATAATGTTTGCAGCAGGCAATCCAATATCAGATTACTATGGTCCCTCTCCTTCAGCCAGCCTCAGTCCCACCTCCCTGAGAATGAAAGTGGAACTCCATTCATGTACCAGCACCACAGATGTAATATTATCACAACATCATGGCAGCTGCTTCTCAACCACATGTATTTGAATGATTCCTGGCTTTTTCTTTTCCCCAATCACAAGCTATAGTTGTAATACACCGGCATCCTCAAAGCCACCACATTATAGGTAGTTTGACATTTTTCAGGTTATTTTAGCTTTTACCGGGAAAAAAATTGCAAGTCAAGACTTGAATATCTAAAATAAAAGTATTTTTCTTACCATTTGAGGTAAACACAAACCGCTTGTCTGAGAGTGAGCCGCTATAAGAAAACAAAGGGGGGGGGGGGAATGACAAAAAAAAGAGTTATTGAATATGTCAGGAGCTGCTCATACAAACTAGCCCAAGATCAGTATATTCACTTTGGGGTGAGAGTATTCTGTATCTAACATAATCTCTCAGACCAGATAGACAATCTTCAACATCTTCTTGCTATTCCTCCACCTCTTGTCAGGGCACTCCTGTTTTTGCCATGGTCTCTCAATGACAAAACTCAGACCATCCTTTACAGGTTCTGGCATATACAAATTCTTTGAAATGATTCACCTCTCCCCCAACCCAGACTATCATCCTCAAAACACATTTCCCCTTAAGCATCTCCACTATGCAGAACCTATGCTACTTTGGGGCACTTTTATGCTAACCCAATTTCCCCATTTGCTACTGAAAAGCCACTAAAGCAACGGAAAAGCCACCAAAACCATCACAAAGTGCCAAAATGCCAAGTTAACAGGAGCTCTGTATCTAGCCACCATGCACTGCTCAAACAATGAGCCCAATTTTCCTCTCACACGAATGTAAACCAAGAATAACTCAACTGAAATCAATGGAGTTACACTGGTGTAAATCCAATTTAAGTGCAAGGATAATCAGACCCAGTTAGTTAAACTTAGTGTTAACTGAATCACACTTTAGTCTGGTCTTTAAATGTGGCCAAATGATACCACAAACGGGTTAAAAAGAAACACTCATTCTCTAACAGGGCTAAAAAAAGAAGTTTTAATCTGGTTATAGCATGGCTTTGCCATAATCAAGTTCAACTAAAGTTTTAAAAATGTCTCTTTTGTCTCTGAAGACAGGGCCACATTTTTTGTCTTCTCTCCCCACTTCCCCCACCCATGGAGTTATTTTAATATAGGACATTAAACAAAAAATAATCCTGCCTCACTCCACAAAACCTCACATAATAGTGCAGAACAGTAAAGTAGCAAAGATTTTAAAAAGTGACTACGGATTATGGGTGCCCATCAAAATGTATCTTAAAGGGGCCTGATGTTCAGAGGGATGGGTGCTTGGGCTTCCTGAAAATCTATTCCCTTCAGGATTTTGCCAGTTAGGCACCCAAAAATGAGTAGTACAGTGGTGCCCAAACACTTCCTGTCGCCCCTCCCCACCAGTAATGGAATCTGTCCGCGCTCCCCCTCCATTAATGCACAGTTGGCTCAGCAGAGGAGCTTGGGCTGAAGGCAGAGCTGGGGGGTGAACTGGGGATGGGGGACGAGCTGAGGCTAAAGGCTGGCTTGGGGGCAGAGTTGGGCTGAGGGCGGAGTGGGGCTGGAGCAGGGGATGGAGCAGGGCTGGGGGTGGAGCAGGGGGCAGAGTGGAGCTGGGGAGCTCCCTCCCTGACCATGCCCAGCGCCCCCCAAATGTTCCTCTGCACCCCTTTAGGGGGGTGAACCCCACAGTTTGAGGACTGCTCTAGTCCCCTTGGAAAATCTTTGCGAGAATGTTATGCTTTAAAGTAACTTCTGTACTTAAATGACAAAGGAACTCCCCTCCAGGTTGCTTTTTCACGGTCATCCAGGACAGTTTGTCCTCAACTCTAGTCTGCGGGCTAATAGTGGCCCACAGAATTAAATATTTTGAGAACCAAGCTATAGCAAACTGGGAATAGAAAGGGACGGGTGGCCACATGAGAAGACCAGTCAAAGTACCACTTCCCTTCACCACTTTCTAGATAGGGAATATTGGTGATTAAAGAAAAACCAAGACTTTCAGAAATAGAGACTGTACAGAGGGAGTTGATTTATTTGGGGGTTCAGGTGAGTCAAAGCAGCAAGTGCAACTAGTAGTCCTCTAGGGCATTTCTCACAGATGGGCCCTGTATGCTCTATGTCAGAATTTTACATTACATCCAAAAGCATATGTAAGGCAAAAGCATGTTTGCTTATTTATTAAATACAAAGTGGTCCACTGTCAAAAGCATGGCTCACAAAGCCTATCAAATCAATGAATTATAATACTCCTTGAGCAATGTTTACAAAGGTATCTCTTACAAAGTCTTTTTTTTTTCTTTTTTGCATCAAAGAAAGGCACTGAAATTCCGTCTAAAAGAAATGCCTCTAACTTTAGCTAAAAGAGGGAAGGTTACAATTTCTAAAATGTTTTTAAGTTTAAGAAGCTTTTACAGTTTGCAGGTCATTAAAAATGGGCTAATCCAATTACTGTAAATCATCATTTTCATATTGTGATAGGTGGCATTTCTCACATAACATTCACTTTCTCACATAATGTAACAGTCAGTAAGGCACACTACTATAAAGCTCCTCATTTCCTTATTAATCTTAAGAGTTCTGTTGAGCAGATAGTGAGAGCTATAAGGCTCTTGTGATGATACTTGTGCAAAGAAAGATTCTCTGTTGCACTACGTTTACATTCAAAAGAGGACTTTAATAGTAGAGTCCACCTCAAGGAGATTTTGTAAACAATGCTGTTTAAACCCAAACCTTAACCTTAATCTGTACAATTCCTAAACAATTATCTCTATTTTCAAAGACAGAAAAATACTCTTGCATGCTCAGAGTCCCTCACAGGTAAGAGCCCTTTGTTTTTGTTTTTTATTTTGTTTAAACATTTCCGGGGAATTTATCAGCATTTATTTTATTTTTTTAAATTAGCAGTGGGTGAAAAATCTGTAAAAACCAAACATGAAAGGCCTCTGGGTGTGGGACGGGAGGGTGCCTGGTAGTCACCAGAGGCAGTGGGTTGGCAGGAGGTGATAGGAACCCTATTTCCTGTGGGGCCTGTTGCTGCAGCAGTCTTGGGCTGGAACCTGGCTCCCTACCCATCTTGCTCCTCCACAGTGCAGCAGCAGTAGCTGCCAATGGTAGTTACCCTTCTCTGCATAGGCACACTGTGCCATCCAGCAGGGACTTCAAGAAGGGAGCCAGGTCTGGGGAATTCCAGCACTTGCAAAATTCAGGTTAAAAAAATCAGTAAAACCCAACACACTTGCTTTTTTCAAAATCTGCAAATTGGGGGGGGGGGGGGGGGGGGGGAGGGAGGAATTCAGTAAAAACTGAAGACAAAGGGCCTTACTCATAGGCAAGCTTGGGTGACAAAGTAAAAGCTGATACATTTGCACTTAAGATGTCAGAAATGCCTGATAAATCTGAGCCATGGCCACTATATCTTCATTAGACAATACATGTGTCTAGATCCACACATAGATCATGGAAACTACAAATCACAGATAACAGAGCATAAAAAATGAAGCCATAGAGGCCAAGGTCAGTTCTGGGGAGCTGGTAAGTGAGCAATTCATAACTTAACCATCAAATTATAATACAGACACATTTACGGGCTCAATGCACACAAGCAGAAGTAGCTTTTGATGAGATCAACTTCAGTTAGAGTCACTAAATGAAATAAATCTTTAATACTGAAATCCACTGTAAATGAGATTTTAAAAAAGTATAGAAAGCCTTTATTTAAAGGAGTATTTAAAACTCATAAAATACTATTGTTTAGGTGCCAAAGAGTTATCCTTTCCAGCGCTGACAGTTCTGAGGCGTTTTAGTTATCGTGCATGTGTTCCGAGAACAGAATAGCTATTCAGTGTTTGAAATACATATTACGAAACCCTTTTAAAAACTTGAAATACAGATACAGTGTGTTTTCCTACTAATTTTGTCTTTTATCTTTCTGGCAAACACTCACTTCACTCATATTTTGAAATACGATGAAATTATTCCCCTCTCACCTCCCAATTTAGTTCTACGATCAGTGGTCAATCTAATCCTGTATCTTGATCCCAACAACAGCAAGTACCAGATACTTAAGGGCTGGGTGGCATACCTCATAATGGACAGTTACGAAATAACATGCTCATGAGGGAAGTTTTTTCTAATCTTCGGTCCCCATGCAGTTAGTGGCTGACTTATGCCTGGAAGCACAGGAGTTTATAACCCTGATACATTTTGGGTGAAATCCTAGTCAACAGGAGTTTTGCCATTAACTTCAATAGATTCCAGATTTCACCTTTGTGAATATTCTTAGTACTGCTCACAAAGAAATGGTTTGACTGGGTGATCACATGATGTCAGGAGGGCTTGGAAAAAAAAACTAGGGGGAGCGGGAAACTATGGGTGAAGAAAAAATATTCTCCCAGGCACTCAGCCTGCTAGAATGCTTGGGAGAGAGGGCTTCCCTCCCCACCAATAAACACCTCACCCATATTCCTGATATTTTAAAATTAAAAATATTAATAATCTTCCTGAGTGACACAGACAATTGCTGGAAGTGCTCACTGCACAGTTAGATATTTTAAGAGGTTTTATTTTTGCCTCAGGTGTAATACAATTAGGGGCAGCAGATAAATGGTAGCTCTAGTAATCTTAAACAGTGCTACAAAAAGCTTGTGAATGTATTTAAAGTTCTCATTAAACTCCCCCACTTCTCAGCACTGCTATTTATTCCTTCAAGCCTATTATTTTAATGTTTTTGAGGTTTTTCCATTAGTTCATCATTGCTTTTTTAACATAGTGACTATTTAAAAGGTATGATTTTGTCTGCAGAACACCAAAAACCTTGTGTATTTGCGAACCAGGTGGTTTGATAAATATGTGAAAAGAGAGAAAGAGCAGCACAATCTAAAATTTCTAGTCATTAATGCACCAATGACTTGAGACACTATGTCTCTGTGTCCCAAAACTAATGCCATTTTAATTAAGTGTCAGCAAACCAAATGACATTGTGTATTACATTAATCTTCCAAAGGTCAACTATTAAGTGAGAAACACTTAAACACTTCCAATTTTTTTCTCTTCTGAAAGAGGAAGAGCTGACAGTGTCCCATCTGTTCCCTCTCTGATGTGGTGGGTTAATTATGCCTCCAGGGTTGCTTTCAAACACAGAATAAAAAGACAAACTACTGTGACACTTACTCCTGTGAAAGGATGCCATTGGCCAGGATGCCTTTGTATCGACTTACTCCTTTCTGCTGAATCACATTGATCTGGCCACCCAGCTCATCTGCAACAACACCTGCGTGTATGGCTGATTTGCACAATAAGGAGGTCTGGAATGCAGAAACCAGAACTCAAACAAAAGGTTAAATTTGGCAAGTTACTAAAACTTTCAAGCTCAACCCACCATTACCTCTCTCATAAGAAATCACAGATCTTCAAAATCATAAAATCCTCTGAAGACTTACGGTGAATATAAAGAAGGAAAGTACAGTATTTTTTTTTTTCTACAGGTTATGTTTAAAACTCTTCCCAAAAAACAAATGCTTATTAAACAAACAAACACACACACACACCCTGATTTGCTTGTAGGGAAAGTGCTCCAGAATCACCACCTAACACAACCCTCCCACATGCCTCCCCCCAGCAGAAGTCATTTAAAAAGGTACGATCACTGCTATTTGCTGGATAAAATTAATGTAAAACTACTTCATGGATTCGCTTATTCTGCTGAAGCCAGACACACTTATTACTTTGTGCAGGGTGAAGAACTGAGGCCTTGTCTACATTTTTGGCAAAAATTTCCCATTGCTGATAACATAGTTCAGTTTCACCATTTTTAGCAACATTAGAAGCTCTACTGTCGACTAGCTGCCACTAGCATTTTAAGGACCTCGTCAACTATGTCCACTTTAAGCAGAGTTAGATGGCACTGTACTTAAAATGCCAGCAGCTGGCCTACACTACAGCTTTCAATGTTTCTAGCACCATTAAAACTGAGAAACTGTTAGCAGCGATGGGAAAATTCTGCAAACTTTCCTTAGTGTAGACAAGGCCTGAGTGAGGCCCTGCCGTTTGTTGCTTTTCACTTCTAATCATCAGGTGTGGTAAGCAGAGCGCCCTTTGATACAAGTTGTATGTAGAATTTCCTTGTTATTTCAGCCAATTTCCCTATAATTCTCCAAGACAGAGGGGCTGAACAATCAGTAAGCTGTTTGAGGACATGCACTGGCATTTAAAACTCAATTATTACTCCATTTGTGATGAAGAAAAGTGGAACTTTATGTAGATAAACGTAGAGATGCTAGAAAGAGGTCATAGGAATCTAGGGATTCTATTCTAGAACTGTGGGGCAGCCGGTGGTCAAAGCAGGGTGTGGTATAATACAGGCATAAGCGAACCACTCAGGCCACTTTCTTCTTTAAACAAAGAACTGCTAATATAAGGCTTGATCGCAATCCATTGAAGTCAATAAGGTGCCACAAATTCAATAATTTAAGACACTGGTAATTCTCAATGGGACAAGTTTAGGAAACATGAGATATCCCAGGAAATCACTCTGAAATGAAGTAGAATTGGTGTCAAAATCCAATTCTAACTAAACTGATTTTTCCCCTAGGAGGACGGACTTAAAAAAATGGAAAGATCTGTGATAAGCAGGTAAAGCTCTGTTCAGGGAGTAACTGAGATCTGGAATTGGGGTGCACTGGATTCTCAAAAGAGAGAGAGGGAATCCTGAGATTGTAGGAATAGTTTAACATGTCAACCAGTACCACTTAGCGGACAAAAAAGGAGAGAGGGAGAACAAAAACCACAGTAGCTAGAAGCCAAAGTATCTTTCCAGTGCATGGTTGTCTGAGTGACTTACATGTTTCTTGCTCATAAATGGGTGGTTGGCTTGTTTGGTAAAATGTAAGTAAGTAAAGGTGCCAGTGAATGGGATTACTAACAGAGCTAAAAATGAATGACATTTTTGCTTGTTGTGCTAAATAACCATGAATTTTTTAGGGTTGACAACTTTGTAATATTTAAAAACTGGACACTCGAGCAGGAGTGACTCTTTCCCCAAAGCCCCGCCCCCTCCCCCAAGGCCCTCCCATCATTTGCTCCTCCTCCTGCCTTCCCCTGTCACTCGCTGCTTTTCCCCTCTCCTCCCCACTCCCTACATCAGGAGGGACTCACCTGCGGAGCTGGGCTAGGAGCTGCAGCTACTGAATGCAGGTTAGGAGGTGGCCCCGGCCGAGTAGGGTCTGACGTGTGTGATTACCTGGTGCCTTCCCGCCTCCCCCACCCGCAATAATGGGACTTTGGGTGTCTGGACAGTGTCCGATCAGATCTACTGACAAGTCCCCTTTTTGACCAGACTTTTGGGTCGAAAACCAGAGATCTGGCAACCCTAGCAACTGCCTTTGTATTCCATCTTTCTAAAGCCCACGCTTTACTCTTCATACTTACATCTCTGTATCCTTCCACTATATTCCCAGAAATATCACCTGCTATGTCTCTGCAACCAGCAGGACAGTATCTGCTGCAGTAAAAGAATAGAAGTGTATTTAAAACATGGATTGTAATGCCTGCCACACACACACACACAAAATGCCAACAAACCAAGAAATATTTTTAGAAATGTGTTCTAGCTGAGCATAAATTAGCATGTTTTTAAAAGGCAAATTTGTTCTCAGACTCAAGTTCATTAGCTTACTGCATATAGTAGGACACACAGAGAGCCAAAATAGTAATCATTTAAGTGCATTTTTTTGTTAGTTCTGCTTGTTCTGGAAATATTATTACACAAGGTAACACACTTTCCAAGCAACTCAGATAAGAAAAATATGCCCAATATTGTTCGTGAGCACAGTAAAAATTGGTTTGTGTTCCATTACGATTTCAAAACCTATTGCCAGGATCACTGACTCAAGAAACTAACCTAGAAACAATTTTAACATACCTTGGGTATGATCCTGGAAGTTACTTATTGCCCTCAACTCCCAGTGGCATCAATGGAAGTTCAGAGCTTTTAGTACCTCCAAAGGTCAAGCTCTGTATTTTTAGTTTACCCTGGCACTGCCCACTTATGCCACAAATCAAGAAAGTTTGAGCACTGTAGCAGCATCCCCTTGTCTGTCCTGGAAACTGAAGTCTCGGGGAGATGACTCTTCTGCTACTCACAAATAAGCCACAGATAATTACAGTATTATACTGAAAAGAAACTAACTTCTCAAGAAAACACATTCCTGTGGCAAACGCTCGGCTTTTCAGCACATTACAAGCAGCAAACAAGATACTTTATCCAGATACAACAATGAATAGGTCAAACAAGACACAGCGAGACAACTGCAAAGCATAGCGTTGCACTCATATTTACCTGTATTCGTTCTTCACGTGATGGTTTGCTCTCTCCAAACATGTGATTAGATCTGTTAAAAATATTACAACTAGTCATTCCTGACTGCAGAGTATAAAAGTGTAGAGAAAACTTGGCTAAACATGAAATTATATTTTAAAAAGTCTCCAGATATTATTTATACATTTACATCTTGATAGTTGACATTTTTATTAGCGGGAACGAAACAGCTATGATATCCTCCCACCTTCCCTTCCCCTCTTGCCCCTGATCTCACACATAAATCAGATTGTCTGCTACCATTAAAAGTAAACTGCACAGTGAGACTATCACATCATCAGGTGTTGGTGTTAAATGTTAGTCTTCAACAACCTGATACATCATCACCATGTGATAAATATCTGAGCCTGAAGTCTCTTTTAATAGGACTTTAATGAGAATACACTCATTTCTGCTCAGATGAGCCCTATCCCGCAAACAGTCCATGTAGGACTTCAATGGCTGCTCTGTGTGCATGCATTACTACTCTATAACTGTCCCTTGTGTTACTCCTGAGGGCATTCTGTGCCAAAAATTCAAAAATTCTGCAGATTTTATTTGTCAAATAAATGTGTAGGCTCCAGCATGGCATTGGGGAGCACAGGCCACTGGCTACATGGAGGTGGGAGATCACTGGGCAGCTCTCCCCCGGGTCATGGACTCAGCAGTGAGGCTGCACCGAACCCTGACACAGTGCAAGGACCGGGCCTGCCCAGAAACACCCCAGGGCCTTGCCCCTCTGTACCAGGTGTGGGTGGGCAGGCTCAGCAAAGCAGGATCCAAGTGTGGAGCCACTTAGCGTGGGGGGATCCAGGTGTGGGTTGAGAGGGTTCTGTGTCAGGTAATCTGGATGCAGGCGACTCAGTGGTGATCCGTGTGTGTATGGGGGGCGGGGAGGATCTGGATGCACAGGAGCCTGTTTTGGGGGGGGAAAGCGGGGGTTCTGAGTGCAACAGTAATGGGACTCTGCAGGGGGTCCAGGTGAAGGTGGGTGGGGCTCAGCAGGAAGGGGTCTGGGTGTAGGGAGGATAGAGCTCAGCAAGGGGGTCTGGGTGTGGAGAGCTCGGGGTGGTGGTGGTGTCCAGATGCTTGGGGAGTGGGGCGGGGATCCAGGCGCAGCTGGTTGGGGCTCGGTAGGGTGGGGATCCGGGTGGCTCGTTGGGGTGGTCCAGATGCAGGGGGAGTGGGGCTCGCCAGGGAGGGTCTGTGTGTGAGGGGGTCTGGATGCACAGGGGTTGGGCGGATCGGGGGGCGCAGCTCTCTGTACAGTGATCCCTCCCCCAGCAGCTGAGGAGCGATGGGTGCAGGAAGGGGAGCGGGGGGAGTTTGCAGAGCTTCCTATAGTTGGGGAAGAAATCTGGGGGTGGGTCTGACACGGGCCCAGATGCTGTGCAGGGGGAAGAGGAAGTCCCATCCTGCTCAGCCCAGCCAGGACTAGCAGCTGAATAGGAGCCACCAGCCGGGTCTTCCCCAGTCCCGCTCCCTGCCCCACAGTGATTTCTCTCTCTGCCGGCTGCTGGGTACCCAAAACTGCTGGGGAGGGTCGCATTACCACTCTTGTAGCTTCCCGTTGCTTTCCCATTAGAAAGTCAAAGTGGAAAAGTAAAGAAATCTGCGGGGGACACAAATTCTGCACATGCGCGGTGGCACAGAATTCCCCCAGGAGTACTTGTGTACACTGTATTAAAAAGATATATATATCAAAATTATGGTTAAAGTAGCTAAGTTCCCTGGTAATACTGGGCACCCAGAGATTGGGCTTTATGAATATTAGCAGCATGTTCATCTGTACCCTCAAGTTTTCTCTCTTTAATTCATACAGACATTTGCTTTTTGGACTCATTACTATACCTGGATGATCACTACTGGCATAGGATAACAGAAAGCCCCGTCCGGATACATGGGACCCACTCTCAAAGCGAATAGTTGCTTCATTAGTATCCAAGATAATTTCTTTAGGACCAGGCATCATATTGCCACAGTATGGTCCTAAATGCAGAAAAAATAATAAGATTTCAAAAGCTTTAGATGACAAAAATAAAATAGGGAATAGGTAGTCTTGTGATAACTAAGGAATTTCACAATAAACTCCTCCTCTTGAAGTATGATTACAAATGTTTACTTCAGATGTTTGGATTGAGACCTTTGTGGGTCTGAAACCTGAAGTTACTGTAACACAAAATGGCAAGAATCCAATCCTGTAAGTACAGTGAAAACTCTGGCATTTAAATTTCTCACAGTTTTTTAGCCTCAAATGGATAATTGATGCTCTTTGGCCTTTGAAGTATAAGATTTTTAAACAGCAGTAACCCCATTAAGGAAAGAGTGGACTATTTAAAGGCAATCCAAGGCATCTATGCAGAGTCTACAAGATAACCTATCTAGATACATAGGTCAGGAAACTTTAGCTATGACTGCAACTTAAAAACAAAAAGCATGCATGTTCTTAAAAGAAAACAAGTAGCATGAGTAGAACAGTGAAACACGCCAGCACCACTTACAGTATCAAATATTCAAAAACAATTTATTTTTATACCAATCACTGAATCTTTTTCTCTCTCAGTCTTAAAAAACATCCTAAAACAAGAAAGCCTTGAAGGGATTTTTAAGTAGACAATGCAAGTTTATTTTACAATCTTTAAATAAAAAGGGTAGCCTTCATGCTCCCATTGAAGTAGATAGGAGTTTTATTGCTGATAGCTACAATATCCCAGGATACTGGCTGGCACAGTATTTCCCTGTGACAGAGAGGTCAACCTGGGATTATTGGCACCTATTCTATTTTCTTCAGGACCCTCCTCCTTTCCCATAAAGAAAATGTCTTTGACTTGGACACTGCCCCCTGCTCTTTCCTACTGCTCCCTGCTCTTTCCTACTGAAAATAAGTAGGAAGAGTACCAAGAAGTAACTCAGTCTCTGGCCTCCCCTCAACCACAGATGCCCCATAAACTAGGAGATAGTTTATACCCATTAGTCTTCATTTATGAGGATGTGTAATACTTACTCTCCAGTAAGATGTTGTATGTAAGTTCACAAAGAGACTTCTATTAAAAAACATTTGCCCTATAGAGGCTATATATTTTTCAAGTCAGCATCTCTCTGCTGGGGGAAATTAGGTTTTGTGTGTCCCTGCCGAAGCCCTAAGGAGTCTCTCAACCATGACTATAACCCGTCTGCCTCTCCCTCCCAAGACCATGCCCTTGAAAACAGTATAGTGGTCATTAGCATGTGGTAGAGGAGGACTGGACAGAATTTCCTTTAAAAAACACCAAACCCTACCCATTAACCATCCAGAAGGGAGTCGCTGCTGAATGAAGCAAGGAAATTAAGATTGGTCCCTTTTGGTTATGTAACCGAGAGAACTGCATCACGTTCAGGGAAAGGGAAGCTGGTAGAAGAAAAGGGTCTAGTATATAAACCAGGACTTTGGAGCCTACACAGCTGATCTGGGACATGTGGAAGACGCAATGCTAATCTCCGCTTTTTGTTTTGTTAGTAAACTAAATTTCTAGTGCTGTTCCTTTGTGACAATGGCCTTGAGAACATAAAACAATCATGAGGGATGAAAGTTTGTTACAGATTTTTCCTAAAGATCAGGGTTATTAAATCCTATGTGCCTGCAATGGTGGAGGCCATGACCTTTGGGATCCATGAAATCACAGCCACAGAACAAATTCAGTGGGCTACACTTTGCCTGCAGTTCCCCCAAAGATCCCACTCCACAACATTCTCAGGCCAGCCTTGTGCACAGTGGCACGATCAGAAGTCAGTTATATACAGGACAGGGAGGAAAAAAATTGTTTAAGCTCCCTAAGAAAGACTAAGGCTGGCTCTAGGCTTATAACATATAAGGCAAAATCAGGTATGCACAGCAGTAAAAGAAAAGGAAGCAGCAGTTAGGATTAGAACTGGGCAGAAAATTTCCAGGGTTTGGTGAAAAATGCCAATTTGTAAAACCCAACGTGTTTCATGGAAACACGGTGGGTTTGACGAACTTTTGTATCCGAAACCTGTCTGGTGGGTTGCTGGGTAGCATGGGCTTCCAGGGCCAGCGGCTTCAAGGCAGCCCTGAATCGGACCTAAACCAAATGTTCAAGTGTCAGAATTCTCGTCAAACTAGAAATTCCAAATTTTAGCCAGCTCTAGTTAGAACATTTCCTTTGTGAATGCATGTGCTAAAAATGGCCTATGACTTAGTTAGAGAAGACAAGAATTTCTATAAAATGGTTAAGTTTCCTTTCCCAATTAATTTGTTTATCAAAAAGACAGCATCTGCCATGGTGTCATAATCAAACTAAAATAGAAAATAGACCTGTGTGTTTCATAAGTGTGATGAGTAGTTTTTCAAAATCTGTCAATTTTATGCTAGGTTTGTCTTTCTAAGGGAGAGACTTGAAAAATGTCTCTGGTGCAGTTATTGGTAATGCAGAACTTTAAAACCTTTTGTATGCTGTTGCATCTCTTCAGATTGATCTGAATGTACAGACTCAATCTCATAGTACCAATATGCTCCCATGTCCACAAGCTTCCCAGAGATTCATTAGGGTTGAATTTTGGTGTTAACAACTATGGGCATTAGAGGTGATGGGAAAGGGCTTAATTTTTCATGTTATCCCATGCCTCTATTGTTGCTCTCAATAAAGTGGGTATATATACATTTTTTGGCCTATAGGTACTTTTTTTAGATAAGCAATTATGAGGAGTTTGACTGTAAGACAACGTAACTGTTCTATTTCTATCCAATATTTATTATGGTTGAGAATTATCCAGTACAGCACATAACTGATTTGGCTTCCCTGATTATGTTGTTTATTGTATGATAGCACTAGACCCTTTTGCCAATGTCTTCGTAGGGCGGCCTGCTTGACTCGGTTTCTTGTGTCCCCAAATGAATTGGATGATTGCCAATCCACAGTCTTCAAAAGTGTCCCCAGGATGATGATCAGTTGTGTTGGGAAGAGAAACTGATTCAAGGTAAGATATTAATTTTGACTGATATAATTTTGCCTAGCTATGAGATTTTTCATTTTGACAAGTTTTCCTAATCTGTTCTAAATTTTCTTAAATACATACTATAAAATTCTGCTTTTAAAAAAAAATGTGTGTACTCTGAGGTATTTTAATAAGGTGGTCAGGTCACCCATTTATATTTTTGCAAGTTAGGGCCCACATCAACGTCCAGAAGTTCAGACTTATTGTACTTTATTTTAAAACCTGAAACTTTACCAAATGTCAGTATTTCTTTTTGCAGTTCAGGTAGCGTGCCGGGAAGTTTTTTTCACATGCAATTGCATATAAAATATGAGTTTGTTTTCTACTTTTATTTCTTTTATATTATTATTTCTGACCATCTGTGAAGGTTCCATTACCATGGCAAAGAAAAGAGGCAATCTTTCTGACAGGTGTCTATCAACTCTTATTGCAGCCTTCTGATCTGAGAATACAACAGATATCCAATTTTAAAATTTGGGCCATAAACCTTTTAAGGACTGCCAATTCTCTCAAAAGCTTTATCAGCATCTAATGATAAAAATGTGTGAGGTTCTTTGGCTGATTCGGTTAAAAAAAAAAATTAGGTCAAAAACTCTTGTGAATGTTGTTTGCTAACTGCCTGTTTAACACAAATGCTGTCTGATCTCAGTTAATGTATACAGGCAGTATTTTTTTTTCCCCAAGTCTATTCGCTTGGCAACTTAATTTAACAAAGAGATGGGTGTATATGCCATGCAACTAGATAGGTCTTTACCTGGTTTCGGTATTACTACAATACGTGCTCCTCTCCAGGTAGCAGAGATCTTTTTTCTTTCAATATCTCATTAAAGACATCTGACTGGTTATGCCAGTTGTGCTCTGAAAAATTTGCAAAATTCTGGGGGAAACCTATCATGGCCTGGAGATTTACCATAATAACTTCTATAATTTCTTCAGGTTCAGTGTCCTCCTCCAGGAGTTCCCGGTCTATTTGATCTATTTTAGGTAGCTTCACATTAATTACATACTCTTCTCTGTTTAGGATGAGCTGGTTCCAAAGCCTAGAGCCTCATGTAAAAATTGGCAAATGCCTCACATGTGTCTTTGGACCTGTGGCTAGTTCATATGGAGTCACCCATATTGGAGGAATGATTTTATTATCTTGCATATTTTTTATATTAGCAGGTAGCCTGTCACTTTTGTTACCTTTTTCATAATAGAGTTATGTAAATCTAGTAGCCTTTTCTTCTGTAGTAGTTTACTTCTAGCTTCTTTTAATGGGGGAGGGATAGCTCAGTGGTTTGAGCATGGGCCTGCTAAACCCAGGGTTGTGAGTTCAGTCCTTGAGGTGGCCACTTAGGAATCTGGGGCAAAATCAGTACCTGGTCCTGCTAGTGAAGGCAGGGGGCTGGATTCAATGACCTTTCAGGGTCCCTTCCAGCTCTATGAGATAGATATACCTCCATATATTATTATATTGTATACTTTCCAGGATTTGATCTGATCTGTGTTTTAAAGTCTTTCTACTTCTCTTAAGAAGTTTGGTGCCTCCTTTTTAAAAAAGATTCTTTGCTTATCCAATGCTATTTTTTATGGTTCTCTCTATCTTCTTTACAAGGTCTCTTTCTTTTTAAGTTGTTTAATTTTTTTTTTCTGTAATAGGCTACTTGCTAATAAATTCGTGTTCCTAAATCCACACTCCCCCCTATGCCTCCTTCCAGGTCAGTCATTCTGCTCCCGATTTATTCAGTATCAACTTGATCTCATTCAGTTTGACATCTACGGAGCCTTTAGCTTCACCAGGGACTCGTCTCTCCTCTTTGGCGTTAGCCTTCTCCCCTCAAACTGACCCCTGTGCAGCAGGCTGCTTCGTGCATCTGCCTGCTCAGGCCTCTTGTGTCCCGATGAGTTTGTCTTTGGAAAACAACTTTTTAAATGGCCACTTCTGCATGCCATTGCCATTGATTAAGCAGGGTACTTGGGGTGCCCCAGGGGCCAGGATGGAGGTGGCAATGGGC